GGAAAGGAAGAAATAGAAGAAAAGAAAGGAAGAAATTGGCAGAAGGAGGGAATGGGGAAAGAAAAGGAAAGGAAGAAATTGAAGGAAGAAATAGGCAGAAGAAAGAGTGAATGAAAGGAAAAAATAAATGGAAGAAGAAAGGAAGAAATGGAAGAAAGGAATGGGTAGGAAGAAATAGGTGGAAGGAAGGCAGAAAGGAAGAAATTGGCAGAAGAAAGGAAGGGGAAAGGAAAGAAAAAGAAGAAATAGGTAGAAGGGGGAAAGGTAAGGGGAGGAAGGAAGGAGAATGAAGGAAAGGAAGAGATAGATGGAAGGAGCAAAGGAAAGAAAGAAATGGAAGAAAGAAAAGGACAGAAGAAACAGGTGAAAGAAAAGAAGAAAGGAAGAACTAGACGGAAGGAAGGAAATGGTAAAAGAAAGAAGAATTGTGTGGCAGGCGGGGCAGGGTTGCCCATAGGTTGCAGGGTACAATGGATCGGGCATTGGAGCAGGACTGTGCCATGCTTCCTTGGCCTTGCCAGGGGATGGGCAAGGATGGAGACAAAAGATGAGGGAAGGTTGCAGACTGGGCACTAAAAAGTTAGATTTAGGAAGGGCAACACACGTGTGGAATGAAGCAAGAGGATACTGGGACAAGCACTGGGGTAGAGAAAAGATAACTTAGGACTGGCAATGGTGAACATAAAAAGCTTAAAAGGAAAATTATGCTATGTAAGGAGCCCAGCCCTGTTCAGTCAAGAAGCACCGTTTATTCTTGAATAAGTGCGCCTGCACAGTGAACAAATCGCTGTCAGGTCTGAATAAACAAAGTAAAAACAAATGCTAAAAATAGGATAAAACAAGACCAATTGACAACTGAAAAAAAGGCAAAATAATATGTGATGAGTTCCTAGAATGGAATGCATTTTTGCAATTTAAGGAGATTATCTGTCATGTAAAAAACAAGATGAAATGGGTGCCCTGGAGACTGACATAAAAGGAGATTTCTAAGTGTCATGGGAACATCATTTAAAAATCCTTTGATAATCCAAATATTGCTCAGTTCTTAATGGATCTTTTCCTCTCCCCATAATTGTCAGTATCAAAGTTGCTTTATAACCCTTCACAACTAAACATCAGCAATGCAATTCCGGCGGGTTTCAGAGAGAGCTTTGTGTTTTTACCAGTTCAACTTGTCCAAAAATGATTCTTAATTACATGACAGCCAGGTTGAAACTTTCTCTTACAAACTGGGAAATGCTTGTTATCCGGTGGACAAGTTAACAGAGTAACAGAGTTGCAAGGGGCTTTGTAGGTCATCTAGTCCAGGGGTCTCCAACCTTGTCAATTTTAAGCCTGGAGGACTTCAACTCCCTGGGAGTTGAAGTCCTATAGGCTTAAAGTTGACAAGGTTGGAGACTCCTGATCTAGTCCAACCCCCACCCAAGCAGGAGACCCTACACCATTTCTGACAAATGGCAATCCAATCTCTTCTTGAAAGCTTCTGGTGAGGAAGTTGATTTCCTTCTGCTTCTGTGCTTTCTAATTTATAGAATAGACCTCGTCCCCCACTTTTCATAATTTGGAGTACAGGTAATCTTCGACTTATGACCACAATTGAGCCCAAAATTCTGTTGCTAAGCAAGACAGGTGTTAAGTGAGTTTGGCCCCATTTTATAACGTTCTGGCCACAGTTGCAGTTACCGTTAGTAACATGATTGTAAGTGAATCTGGCTTTCCCATTGACTGCTTGTTAGAAGATCACAAAAAGTGATCAGGTGATCCTGGGATGCTAACTGTTATAAATATGGGTCAGTTACCAAGCGTTTGAATTTTAATCCTGGGAATGCCGCAATGGTCTTAAATATGAAAAATGTTCATAAGTCTTTTTCAGTGCTGTTGTAACTTGGAACCGTCATTAAATGAACTGTTGTAATTTGAGGACTGCCTGTAGAAGATTTCTACCTGGACTGAGAATAACAGAGTAGGAAGGGGCCTTGGAGGTCTTCTAGTCCAACCCTCTGTTCAAGGAGGAGACCTATACCATTTCAGATGAATGACTGTCCAGTCTCTTCTTAAAAGCATCCAGTGATGAAACACCCACAACTTCTGAATGCAAGCTCTTCTACTGGTTAATTGTTCTCACTATTAGGACATTTCTCCTTAATTCTAGGTTGCTTCTTGCTTTGATTAGTCTCTATCTATTGATAGTTGTCTTGCCTTTGGGTGCTTTGGAAAATAGCTTGACCCCCTCTTCTTTGTGGCAGCCCCTCAGATATTGGAACATCACTATCGTGTCATCCCAGTCCTCCTTTTCACTAGACTAGACATCCCCCAAATTCTTACTTGAATAGAATAGGATAGAATTCTTTATTGGCCAAGTGTGATTGGACACACAAGGAATTTGTCTTGGTGTAAATACTCTCAGTATACATAAGATACATTCATCAAGAGCCAAGAATCATAAGGTACAACAACACTTAATAATAGTCATAGGGTACAATAAGCAATCAAATCATACTAGGAAACAGTCAATAACAATCATTAGGATACAAGTGACAAAGTTACAGTCATATAGTCACAAGTGGGAAGGGATAGGTGATAAGGAGTGATGAGAAGATTAATAGTAATAGTAATGCAGACTTTGTAAATAGTTGGACAGTGTTGAGGGAATTATTTGTTTAGCAGAGTGATGGCTTTTGGGGAAAAAAATGTTCTTGTATCTAGTTGTTCTGGTGTGCAGTGCTCTATAGCATCGTTTTGAGGGAAGGAGTTGAAACAGTTTATGTCCGGGATGTGAGGGGTCTGTAAATATTTTCACAGCCCTCTTTTTGACTCGTGCAATATACAGGTCCTCCATGGAAGGCAGGTTGATAACAATTGTTGACTTGTTAAACAAGACATCCCCAATTACTCTTAAATTGTTGGTATTAAATCCTGGCTCACTGTGTTAGTGCCTATCCGGTATTTTGGGGTAGACCCATTAAATGCCCTGTAAATTTTTTTTTTTAATTAGCCAAGATTCTTAAGTTTCTCTAACTTAACGGCTCTTCCTCCAGCATTGCTACAACTCTAGAAAACACACACTGGGAGACACACTCATGCATATAGGCATATTGACAGGACTTAAAAGGAGGTAGAACTGGTTAGACTCGCTCCCCTTCCGCCCACCGTTGCCTTTCTCAGCCCTACGCGTTGATTGAGCAAGGCACTGAGTCCTCTTCTGTGCTCTTCCTTCTTCCTTTTCAGTGCCCCCATGTTCAGGTAGACCAAAAGACCAGGCTTAAAACTGTAGGTTTGACTGCAGGAGGCATCAGCCAATACGAGAGAGAGGTAAGTAAGTTCGCCCATCTCATAGGGTACTTTTTCTTTCTTTCTTTTAAGTCTTTAAGTGCAGGCAGGGCTGCATCAAAGGAAAGAAAAATACTCAGAAACAAAAAGAAATCCAACTCCCAAGTAGCCATTTTAGGAGTGTTTAAGAGAGGAGTGTGCCTACTTTTACTTCCTCTGCATTTTATATATTGGAATGCAGCCAGTAATGCTTTTTGTAT